AAGCTGATGGAGAAGACAGAATGATCAAGAACTCTGTATAATGTTTCTCTATAACTTGGAGACTAAGCTGAAGAAGACCACAAAAAAAGAAGAAGGAAGAAGATATGCCTCAAAGTTACGAGTATCTAATGTGTTTATATGTACAGAAGAACTCGTGTACATTTTAAAGTGATCATGTGTATGTATCAATGTATGTGTGAATACAAACTATTAAAAAGTGAATAAATAAAACTGGTGAAAATTAGTATTCTTTTTTAGATGGGGAATTTTAGCCTTATCTTTACCACAAAAAGAAAAAAAGAAAAATATATCATTTGAGTTTTGAGATTGTTGTTCGCCCCGAAAATACTCTTATTTTTGTACTTGCATTTAGTTAAATGGTATAAACAAAATTCAGAAACATTAATTTGGCCCACGATCTAATTTGGTCCATATACAACACCTAAATTTGGTCCGCGAGACTAAATACATACATTTGGTCTATAGACCTATTTATTAACACAAATCATTGTTGACAAAAAAAAGAAAAAAAAAAGCCTAAATAATTGAAAGTAGACGCATCATGCATGTAAAGATAAATATAATATAATGACAACTAATTCTTTTTTTCTAATGACATGGTAAAGATAATATAGAATAGTTTTCTGACTCTTAAGAAGATAACATAACAATTTTGACCCCAAAAAATAATAATTATCGTGCTCGGAAAGAAAATGAATATGAGCGTGAAGACAAAGAAGGCTGAAAATGACAGGGAGATAATTTCAATTTTCAATTTTCTTTGGTCGAATATATGACAAATCCAGAATTGATGTGTCGGTATTTTTTAGTGAACCACATGTTAAATATGTGTAAAATAAGAAGTATATCAGTATATAAATATGATATACTAGTTCTGTACTTTCTAAGTAAGTAATATCAATGTCGTGACATATTCCCGGAGCAAGAGAAAAATCCATCTCATAAATCATTTTTAGTTTCGATATCGGTAAGCTCTCTCTTTCTTTCACCCTTTTTCCGTTTGTTGTGTTTTTTTTTTCTTTCCTTTTTTGGTAAAACGCTGACAACAATCTTGTTGGTGAAGTAACCTCTCTTGCCTTCAAATTCAGTCAAAATTATGGAAACCTTCCCATTTTGGGCTTGCTCAAACTCGAATTGTAGTGAATCTTGGGGTATATTAAGTGGAGAATATGTTTTGATTTTTGCTAAATCGACCTCCAAATGTCAAAATGAGTCATTCCAGGGAGTGTGAGATTACAAGCTTTACTTGAAAGATGAAATCAAGTGGCGGTGAGGAGAAGAAGTTGGGGAATGGAGTTGTTGGGATTCTAGCTGAAACAGCGAACAAATGGGAGAGACGAACACCATTGACGCCATCTCATTGCGCTCGCCTTTTACGCGGGGGCAAAGACAGAACCGGCATTTCCCGCATTGTGGTTCAGCCATCTGGTAAGCGTATCCATCATGATGCCTTGTACGAAGATGTCGGATGTGAAATTTCTGATGATTTGTCTGATTGTGGGCTTATACTCGGAATCAAACAACCTGAGGTTTGGGAATTTGCATTACTAAACATTTATTTTTGTGTTAGTTTATGATATTTAGGCTAAATCATTTAGCGTTTTCTGTTGGTTCTGTTTGCAGCTAGAAATGATTCTTCCGGAGAGAGCTTATGCTTTCTTCTCACACACTCATAAAGCACAAAAAGAAAACATGCCTTTGTTGGATAAAGTATGACACTTTTTATGCATCCTTCATCTAGTCCCTTTGAAACATATTGAGGAATGTTGAAAATGGGTATTGGATGCAGATTCTTTCTGAGAGAGTGACATTGTGTGATTATGAGCTCATCGTTGGAGATCATGGGAAGAGATTATTGGCATTTGGTAAATATGCAGGCAGAGCTGGTCTTGTTGACATCTTACACGGACTGGGACTGAGTAAGCTCTAGTTGAATACATGTTTCTCTGTTGATCAAGATGAATTGGATTCAAAAAGTTCTTGTATATATTGATAAATGTAATTTTCCATGTTTGATGCAGGATATTTAAGTCTAGGATACTCAACGCCTTTCCTCTCGCTCGGTTCATCCTATATGTATTCCTCCTTAGCTGCAGCAAAAGCCGCTGTGATTTCTGTTGGTGAAGAAATTGCAAGCCAAGGGCTGCCATTAGGAATCTGCCCTCTTGTATTTGTCTTCACCGGAACAGGAAATGGTAACTTCTTTAGTTCCACTGCAAGTTTCTTAAATCCTATGGCAAATCTCAGCCTGCAGATGTTTCATTTCATAAACTTTCCTCATCCGCAGTTTCTCTTGGGGTGCAAGAAATTTTCAAGCTTCTTCCTCACACTTTTGTTGAACCAAGCAACCTTCCTGAACTATTTGGAAAAGTAAGCGTATCTTTGCTTTTAAAGTTATTTAATCTGTTTATATGTTTTGTGAGAAGTTTCTCTTAAAGAAATGTACTTTATGCACAGAACCAAGGAATTAGCCAAAATGGAAAATCAACAAAACGAGTCTATCAACTATATGGTTGTATCATTACAAGCCAAGACATGGTTGAACACAAGAATCCATCAAAGTCGTTCGACAAAGTAACTCTTAACAATATAGTTCCATAGCTGCTGTGACTTTTGTTTCACTACTAAATTAGAGTAGAACAGAAATTAACTCTTGAAGTTATTTTTTTTATGTGCAGGCTGACTATTATGCACACCCGGAACACTACAATCCAGTGTCCCACGAAAAGATATTCCCTTATACGTCTGTTCTTGGTAGGTCCAGATCTCTGTTAGTTTTACCTCTAAAGTTGATGAGTTTAACTTAAAAGTCATTTTTGGTTAACTATGACTTTCCATGCAGTAAACTGTATGTACTGGGAGAAGAAGTTTCCCCGTCTTCTGAGCACCAAACAGCTTCAAGATTTAACAAAAAAAAGATGTCCACTAGTGGGAATATGTGATATAACTTGTGATATCGGTGGCTCCGTTGAATTTGTTAACCGAGCTACTTTAATCGATTCCCCTTTCTTTAGGTAATATATACTTTGAAAGAGCATTCTTTTCAGTCTTCGACGGTTACTATATGATGAAACTCCTCCAGCTAATTACTATCTTTAGGTTTAATCCCTCGAACAATTCATACTACGATGACATGGATGGTGATGGCGTAATATGCATGGCCATTGAAACTTTACCAACAGAATTTGCAAAAGAGGTAAGAAGATTACAGTTTTAGTACTTGGACTGATTCTACAGCTAAAAATCTAGTACTGATTTGGAGTTCTTGTGTCCTGAAAAAGGCATCCCAGCATTTTGGAGATATTCTTTCAGAATTTGTCGGAAGTTTGGCTTCGATGACTGAAATTGCAGATCTACCAGCACATCTGAAGAGGGCTTGCATAAGCTATATGGGAGAGTTGACATCTTTGTATGAGTACATTCCACGTATGAGGAAGTCAAATCCAGAGTATGTTCTGCTTCTACCGTTATTTCATACACATTATATTATATGAAATGATTATGTCTCTTCTCTAAACTATGTTTTCATCTTTAACTGCAGAGAGGAACAAACTAATATCTCCAACGGGGTTTCCAACCACAGAACATACAACATATTGGTGGGTTTTGATGAAGTTAAGGTCAGTGAGATTAGAAAACAAGTGAAAATAAATAAATTAGAGATATTTTTGTATATAGTAAAAAGTAGTGGATAACGTAACGATGACTTATTTAAGGACATGCAAGCTCTAGGAATTTCAAATCATATGACTTAAGCTATTAGGAATTAAGATAATACGCTCTCCATCAAGTATACTGACCAAGGATGATACGTTTTTGAGATTTGTCTAAGCTTCTTGTAATGGTTTTAATTGAGACAATCATTTTGTAGGTATCTCTAAGTGGACTCCAAGGCTTATTTTGACAACTTTCACTCCAAGGACAAGACAAATAAGTGAAAAGTGTAATAGTTTAGAATCTTAAGCATCTTCTATGTTTATGCATGCTACTATAATACTATGTAATGATTCTCCTATAAAGATCATAATTTAAATAAATGAAAAAATTATGTTTTTCTTTTCATGAGGCACTAGAGCATTCTCTGTAATGAAATACGTTAAATTCAATTTACAAGAATTATTCCAAGTAGCTTTCCAAGACAGTCACTTGCCCTTTTCCAATTAAAAATTTCCCTTGCAATTAACTACAATTGCTTTTTACGACATAATTTAGTAAAAAATGGTGATAATCTTGGGAAGTGTTAATTTGACTAATTTGAACAATTCTCATCTATAAATTCTCCCACCTCTCCATCACATTCATTCTCACTACCAAACAAAAAAAACCTCGTCTTAAACCCTTACCAAACAAGCTCACATTGTCAAGAGTTGAAACGTGAAAATGGAGAAGAAAGATGTTAGCGCAAAACCTAGTTCGGTGGCTCAGAGCAGCGGTACTTCAAGCAGTGGCACTGCTCCTGGTCCTGGGAATATGGTTGCTCCCGGTTCTGGTGGTTCTCATATCCCTAGAGATGCTTTTGAGGCCAACACTAAGGCTTACTTTGACAATCTCCATGCAAAATACAAGGCAAATAAGTGAAAAAATTGTTTTAATTACTACTTAAAAACATAAACACTTGTTTGTTTATGCTCCTATGAAGAATCATTATCTTTAAATAAACGAGATTTATCTCTCTTTTATGAATTATGTTCTGCTTTTATTTGCTTCTTTTTGACTTTTTACATGCGTTGAGTTCCATGCTTATGGTATTAAGCAAACTCTTATCTCTCTTGGTCGCTTTCCTAGTAATCTAGTATAATTATACGACTTAATTTGAACATCTGTAAATTAAACGTTTTCTAGAGATTATATCAAATTTGGAATCTTAGTAACTATTAAATTTGGAATCTTAGTAACTATTCGATCCAAATTAATACCAACAAAATATTAACTAATTATTCTTCCCTATGAAATAACTGACTCGATTTCGAACACCAAAATGAAAGATTTAAAATTATATTTTTATTTAATTTATTTACATCAGATCAAATGTATCTGAAATTTTGCAACCAAACTAAATTAACAAAACAAAAAAAATTAAAATGATGCTAAATAAGGGACAATTAAAGCTAATTCCATTTCTGTTTGCTACTTATTTCCCCATCAAGTTTGTACAGGATCATTTCAAACATTAATACTATAATTCTGCACTGGCAAAATAACAGTTGTTGTTGCAGAATCTATTTCAACATTTTGACACTGCCAATGAGAGAATCTGCTGCTCCACCTCTTCCCAGTTATGAACTCTAGTCACCAAAGGATGCCTATCCACAGACTCTGTCTTAGACCAAGGGTATGAATTTTCATAGTCAAAGAGGAGAACCTTCATTCCGATGTTAGCGCATTCCTCGGCATATCTCGGGTTATCGTCAATCAATATCTCTGCTCCAAATGATCTGCAGTTCAATTCTTGGATTAGCCCATAAATCATATGAAAATGGTGTTTTGTTAGTTTTCGAGTAGAAAGATTGCCAATGTGTCCAGATTCATTAGTTGATTTTGTATGCACCTGCAGATTTCAGACTTTGGTCTAGACTCTCCATGAAGAGCAAAATGGTTTCCAAAATGAATTTGTTTAAATAGTCCTGGAAAATGTATCTCGATCCACTCAAGTGTGTGCTCCTTTATCGCATTCTGCCGGGACCTATTTAATGATATCAAAACCACTCAGATACTGATTTTTAGGACTAACTGGAAATTTGAAATGTTCACCAAAGAGAAGATCACACCACATGCCACTTACGTCACAACTGACATGTCGCAATATTTTGATAGCTTGTGAAGAGTCTTATGGGCACCTGGAAGAGGATGGATCCCTTTCTTGAAATATGATGTCTTAAAGAATTCATGAACACGTAAGTCGGCTGCACAACAAGAAAGTTTAAACATAGCACACTAGGTCTCAATTTATCCACCAAAATTTGCCAACACACAAAAAGTCTTCAGAGCAATCAGCTGGTCCCTAAATTAATGCATAGCTGAAAGTAAGCCAAGGAAAATACCTTCGTTACGAGAGCAGTTCCATATCTGCCACACAAAAATAAGACACGAGTTTAAGGGAAAATCATAAACAAGAAATCTGTGATGTGAAGCCAGCATCGTTAGATCTGTATTGTAACAGGCAACGCAAAACCCTGATTGCAAGAGGAGATCCTGAGTTTAATATGTTTTGGTGATAACTTGAAAACATCAGTGTAGCAGAAAAATTGAAACGGACCTCTACGAAAACATCTTCACCAACTCAAATTTCTGACAGCAATGGGGTTTAAAAATACTTTCACATAGAAGGTAAACAAACATGTGTCAGGCAGTGTAATGCGCTATACAAATGAGGCAGAGAACAACATTTCTTATCATAAGCCAAAGATAGCAACTAAAAATTGTCAACCTAGTATACAAACTTATCCTTAAAGGGCTTATTCCAAGCTAACTCAATATTTCAATCATTCATGATTCAACCTAGCATGTGAGGTCCTAAAGTAGAAAACAAAAGAATCCAGCAACTAAAAGCAAAAGGGTATTATTCCTCCATGTTGAGCAAGAAGAGGCACAATTTGTTTCTCATGTAAGTAGAAGTAGAAGCTTTGACTTCATACCTTGAAGAACTCATAGACATGGTATTCTGAGACTGAATGGTTAGACAAATAGCGGTCCGCAATGAATCTGTTAAGGGCCGAGACAAAGTTTCCAAGAACTGCGTACATAAAAAGACCAAAAGATGAAGCATAGCTTAAACTAATGGCTCAATGAAGACAGAAAAAATATGATCTCAGTATAAGAAAGCAAAAGAAAAGAGGTATCGGCGAAAAGAATCATGTAAAACATTTGCATCAGCCATCTAACAAAGACAATACTTAGACTAGAGTTGGAAACAGAATCAAAACTATTCAACACACATCACATGAAAAGATTCACAAAGAAATCACTTTAAGACACACAGACACAGTTCAACATGGTTCCTCGGCTGAAATTGGCAATCCAATCGTATGGTTAGGCAGATTCGAATCAGTAGTAGACATATTTTACTCTAACCAACAATAGTGAATCAGGGATCTTCAGAGTTGCATAAGATTAAACAATTTCTCAGCTAATAATTTATACTAGTCATTGACTCTTAAGATTTTCTACAACCTATTTAGCAGTTTAATAAGTCAACAATAACATATAAAACCTCAAAGACATTTCAAACCTGTATACATCATCACAGTATAAGAACAAGGGGAACATACCCTCATCAATGTCAACAGCCACAACAATCTTATCATTTCCTTGAAACCTGGTACGCAGATATGCACCACGGCCATCTGCAAGGTCGGTGGTTCCGGCACTAGGCCCAGATCCGAGATCATGGAGAAGGCGGCGATGTTGAGTTAAAGCTCGAGCCTTTTGATCAGGTTTCTTGTGAGAATCAAAACAACAACTTGTCAAGGTGAATCCATTGGGCTTAACTCCTCCACCTTTAACCTTGAACAAACCATTAAAGCGACTCTTGTTGTTGTGGTTGTGGTAAATTGGAATGGGATTGAGTCTATGAACGAAATCTCCATCTCCATGAAATGTGTTGGCGATGGATCGAGGAGTGTGAAGCGATCGCAGAAAAAGGGGATCGGTAAAGGAAGACATAAGAAGGGTTTTATGATGTGAATCGAAGAAGCTGGCGATTCTGAAGAGAATGGCGTTAGAGTGCCTCTTTAACATAACGAAACCTTTTCTCACATTACAAATTCATCCTAAAATCAAACCCTAAAAACTCCAAATCGGGAGAGAGAAAACCAAAACGAAAACGAAAAATAATAAATTGAGAAAGCAAAATCTCTAATGAAGAAGAGGCTCCAACGTAATAATCATGCATTGGAACACTTTGGTCATTGGTGGGGACTTCTTTGAAACCGAAAAAAGAAAAAAAAAAAAGTTTGATTTCAATTACACACAGTAAAGAGGAGAAACAATATGTTCGTCTTCGTCGTCGTCCCCTACGATTACGCCGTGGCCTCTACCAATTGAACGGCGACAATCTTTAAGTCGGTCCCAAATTCTCTTGAAGCTGGTTCGATTGATTGATCCGGTTTTATCAAATTGACTAAACCAATAATATGGTTCGCTCTTTCATGTGTACCCCATTGGAAATCCTTTTTTTTTTTTTTTTTCAAATGTTGCAATCAGGTCTCTTTCTTTTGAATCCGATTCAAAAGAAGTTAAAAGTTAGATATTCCACTGTGTTTATCTGCGTCATCATTTTTATACATGTACACATGATGAAACATTGACTTCTCAAAAACCCCATGAAACATTTATTTAGAGGATCGGAAATTTTTTTATGGAAACGTAAAATTATTTGCCAAAGAGAAGAAGCTTTAAGGAAATTTTTTTTTTTTGAGAGAGAGAGTGGAATTGAAATTATGAAAATGAGTAAGCGAGTCAAATTGTGTGAGACACGAATAAATTCTTTCGTTTCCCTTTTCAGCTTTTTCCTATTAATAATTTAATTTTGTTTTGTTACAAAATCATAAAAGCGAGAGACCAAAAAAAGGAAAGGGGAGTGAAGTGTGAACCCAACCAAACTCATCTGTCTTCATTGAAAAAACGAAAACCTCAAAGTTGGAACCTTTCCGTCTTCGTCTTCTTCTTCTCCGCTCCGTGACGAACGATGCTCTGTATCAAAGCCGAAGCTCTTCATGAAGATCAAAACTTAGCCTCCTCTTCTTCTTCTTCTCCCAGCACCGATCGCACCTTCGGAAATGCCACTTTTCGTCTTCCCATCAATTGGTACTCTCTCTCCCTAAATCTTACTCATTGCTCCCGATTTGCTGATGTTGTCTGCTACAGGGGAAGCTCGATCCGGAGGTATTTGAAGAAGACTGGTACATTCTCGAGAAGATCTTACTCTTCTGGTGATGGCTCTTTGTTTTTTCCTCATCTCGATGTAATGTCCCTCTCTCTCTCTCTTTATATCTCTGCCTTTCGTTATCACTTGGAATCTACTTAGTAAATCTAGGGTTTTTAGGGGTTTTGGGTCACACCCACCAAAGGTTTTGAAATTGCAGGAAAGCAAGATGCTTGATCAAACTAGGGGTAGATTTGATGGAAAGACCAAACTATGGTACAAATGTGAGCTTGAACAAGATGTAAGTCACTCTGTCAGATCCCATATTACCATATTCATTTTCTGCTCTTTGTTTATCACATTTTACAAGTCTTTCTATACACCTAAGTCACATTTAAAAGTTTGATATTCTTGGGTTTCATTCTTAATTCTCTTCATGTACTACTACTGCTAATGGTAATAATGGTTAATGATATTTTGGGTGATACAGATTAAGAGATTGCAGCAGCAATTACAAGAGGAGATTAACTTACGGTTAGCTCTAACTAGCGCAGTTGAGCATTCTAGTTCCCCGTTCATGGATTCGCCTTGTCAACTTCCTGATAAGGTACTCAATCCTTTCTCCGACATATATCTTCCTTGTTGTTTTTGTTATTGAGTTCCTTCTAAAACAGTATAGAAATTTACAGGCACAAGAGCTTTTGGATAGCTTAGCAATACTGGAAATCACGGTGTCTAAGCTTGAGCAAGAATCAGTTTCCTTGAGATATCTACTTAGGCAAGAGAAAAACGAGCGGCGCCTCTCTGAGATTCTACAAAAGAAGGCTCATTATTCTGCTCCCTCAAAGTTCACTAATGCTCAAAATTTCCCTAACAAGTTGGTATGACTCTATACAAAGTTTTGTGCATTCTTTGGTTCTAGTTTCTAAATAGGAATTCCTTGTGATTTGACAGGTGACAAGGAAAAGAGAGAGTAAACAAGTGGATTCTGTGGAGAGTGAAGCTTTACAAGTAGAATGAAGAAGCAAAGAGTGATTATGTTATCTTAGGCATAGCCATATTGGCTGATCAACTCCATGAGCAAACTCTTTCTCCTCTGAGTCTAAGAGTTTTGTAAGTTTCTTCATCCCACTGGTCCTAGAACCGCCTTTCAGACTCACCTAGCTGGTCCATGAGCATCTCTTCATTATAAAGACTCTGAGATCTTAGAAAGATACACAGCGCTTTTACGCAGCGCTATTCTATTTTCGCTCTGGCGATATTCGAAATTTAACGTGGGGTAAGGTTGATAGGATGGTTTATGCCCTGCAGGAGCAGCAGTGAGGAGCTTGTATTCTGCATTTAAACATAGAAAGCATTGTGGACTTGTGGTAGGCTTATAATCACCAAGGAGATTATTAGTTGTATAAGTTTAAGTCGCCTCCCTTGGATTTAAAGTAAAGTTGGTAAGATTTTTAAATTTTTGGTTCCTTTATTCCAGTATTCATTTTATAGTGGAAGACATATGGGTTTATCATAACCTTTTAAAGTTGTGACAACCTCATAACGATCAAAACAAGCATGCATTTGTTGCCATCAAATTGAACTTTTTAATGGAATAATGTATTTTCTTAATAAGTCCCCAAAAACAAAAGTTCTTGAAGGCCCATCAAAGTCGTAAACCGGCGCTCCAACTTTTTTTGGCTAGCAAAATGGTGATATCCGATTTTAAGCACGGACTACTACAAAAAGATAAGATAAGATAAGGTTTTGTTGAAGTTTTATTGTTAAAATTATATATAAATATAAATGTGTGCTATTTTTTTATAATCAATATATAGCGATATATGTTTTTGAAATCTTAAAATTAGTTCGGTCATTGAATAAGGTAATCCATGGAAGTCAAAAAAAAGAATAAGGTAATAGACGTAATTAACAATCCTTAGTGGGTTTAATTAAGAAATAAAGCAATGCCTATTATTTTTTTCTATTTAGTTTTACAACCGTGTCTATTTATAAACAGATCGTACCTTCAGGAAAAAAAAAAACTCAAGAGACAGAAAAAAGGAAGGCTTGAGGGAGAGAGAGTGAGAGATGGAGAAGATTATTGACGTAGCTTATGGCGCATCAGTGAAGGCGGTTTTGACGTTGTTGGAGAAGAATCTGTTGCCGGATCTTGTCATTAGGCGGCTCACACGTCTGCTTCTGGCCGGTCGTCTCCGTTCCGGTTACAAACCCACCGCGGAGATGCAACTCTCCGATCTCCTCCGTTTTGTTGACTGTAAGTAACACGGACACATATATAATTGCTTCTTTTTGACTAGAGTTTACAAAGCTATTATAGATAATTAGAGTTTATTGATTTTGCTTTGGTGTTTTTGACTGATTATTAATTATGACGATTTTTAAATTAACAATCTGGTGTGTGTGTTGCAAGTTGTTACACGTACTTAGCTTGTGTGTGGTTTTCGTCTGTATACAACTAACAAGACGGCTTTAGCGCCTCACAATAATTAATTTTTGTTGCGTTTGAGTTTTGAGTAAAAAAGAAATGTGAAAAAAAAAAGTAGTTTAGATATTGTTGTTCAGAGATCCGCGAACACAAAAATTCTTCTACGTTTATTTTATTTTATAATTAAAAAATTTTACATGTCTGTTTTATTTTGTAATTAGATTTCCGGTCTCTAAGCCTATAAGACTTATTCAAATGAAAAAATATATACATTTGGAAAATTAGAACATTTTATAGTTTGTCACATAATATATATTTGCAAAATGTAAAGAAATGTTTTAAAAATCTCTTATGAATGATGTATATTTCAGCTATAAAGAAGATGCCTATAGCTATCAATACCGAGAAGCCAAAGACTCAGCACTATGAGTTACCAACAGCTTTCTTCGAACTTGTTCTTGGAAGAAACATGAAATACAGCTCTTGTTACTTCTCAAACGATTCAACTAGCTTAGAAGATGCAGAGGAAGCAATTTTGGCTCTTTATTGTGAAAGAGCTAAAGTGGAAGATGGACAAAGTGTTCTTGATGTCGGATGTGGCTGGGGATCTTTGTCTTTGTACATTGCCCGCAAGTACAGCAAATGCAAGTTAACCGGTATCTGTAACTCAAAAACACAGAAAGCATTTATCGATGAGAAATGCCGGTAATTACATTTCTCATATTTACATCTTAAGCTTCATCAAGTTCAAGCTAGTATTATGAGTAGAACTTAATACAATCTAAAATGCTTTCTTTTACATGTCATATTTGAAGGAAACTCGGGCTTCAGAATGTCGAAATTATTGTTGCGGATATTAGCACTTTTGAGCATGAAGGGACATACGATAGAGTATTCTCCATCGAAATGTTCGAGGTTTGGATTGGTTTTTTCAAAGTACTGTATTTCATTATATTTCTGCCTGTCAAAGGTCAGAGGTTTATTTCTTAGCTTTGGCTTCTCTATTTGGGATTGTGAATAGCATATGAAAAACTACGGAGAGCTACTGAAGAAGATAGGAAAATGGATGAAGGAAGATAGTCTTCTGTTTGTTCACTATTTCTGCCATAAGACATTTGCTTACCACTTTGAGGTATGGATCAATGTCTAATTTGATAGCTGCTAGTTTAATCAGTTACTTCACCATGTTTTCCGGGCAATTATGCAATCTTGGGATTGTGTTGATTCCCTATAGGATGTGAATGACGATGACTGGATCACAAGACACTTTTTCAGCGGAGGAACAATGCCATCAGCGAATCTTCTCCTATATTTCCAAGTAAGATACATTACAATAACTTGTGTATGAGTCGTTAGATTATCATCAATCCAAATAAATCAATATGTTGTTTGTTCAGGAAAATGTCTCGATTGTGGATCATTGGCTCGTAAACGGGAAGCATTATGCAAAGACAAGGTAAAAACTCTGAAGATTTGTTGTAAGAAGCGAGAGAAGATGATAATTATCTTGTAATGTTTGTACTTTATAATTATACAACTTTTTGCAGTGAAGAGTGGCTCAAAAGAATGGATAAGGAGATAGTTGCAATAAAAGAGATAATGGAAGTGACATATGGGAAAGAAGAAGCAGTGAAGTGGATGGTTTACTGGAGAACCTTCTTCATTGCGGTTGCTGAGCTTTTCGGATACAACAATGGAGAAGAGTGGATGGTTGCACACTTCCTCTTCAAGAAGAAATGATGATTCCTTTATTTTCTTCCATTTTTGAATAAAGAATACAACAATCTCATTCTACTTTGTATTCTATGATTTTATGGTTTCCTACTAAAAGAGTTGTTCAATCTTTCTTTAAAGTGACAATGTTATCGACAAAAAACATGGGAATCAAGTATCATGAACTAGATTCTTTAGAATCAGCTTGCTTTGTTGGATTCAGCTCACCATCTACTTCCAAAATGCGAGTGAGAAGCTTACCATCTAAATTCTCCTGTTCAAATATATGAAAGTCGAAAATTAAACACAGAATGGGAAGGTTATCATTTTGATTAAGATCACAGGAAACATGGATAGAAATGAAGAAGAGAAGCAGAGTGAATTACCGAGAGACAGTCTCTGTACTTTTTCCACTCGGCAACACACTCTTCTTTATCCCATTGCCCTTTAACAAACTTCTCCGAGTACCATCTGCAGAAAGAAATCAAGAAAATGGATGCAATTTTTAGCGTTTTGGACAGATAGATAAATACACCAACCAAATGTTTTCATACAAAGGGAAGAATTTTCAAGGTAAAAGAAATACAACAATGCCATCAAATTCTAAGTCGAATACCAAATGCTCCAAACCTTAAAAGATCAAAAGACCAGAAAGCCAAAGCTAAACCCTTAAACCCAGCAGATGAAGAAACACTAGCTCAAAGGAGAAACGAAACTCACTTGTTGAAGCAATTGTGGTAAGCGTTTCTCAAATCGGCGCAGGGAGAAGTAGAGGAGCGAGCTGAAGTTGAATCTTTTTTCTTCAATAAGCCCATCTTCGCAATCACTAATACTCTCTCTCAGCTTAGCAACTCTGAAAATCCATCTATAGCAACTCTGAAAACGACTCTTAAGAAGAGGATAAAAATGACAATAAGAATCTTCAGCAGAAATCATCACAAACAGAGAAATATAATCCAACCTAACCAAAAGATAACTAAAAGATTCATTATTTGATCCTCTAAATTATAAGTGAACATAACCAAAGTTGATTCATCTTTAAGCTGGGATAGAAAATCCTAAATTTGCAGAAAGGATCAACTAAATAGAGAGATTGAATCAAAAATGAAACTCAGACAATGCAAAGATTCAACAAGTTTCAAGGATAAAAAAGAATTTCAGATCACAGAAGAAAAAATAATTGAAATTTACCCTGATTTGATCGGAACGGGTAGAGACCAAAATTGATTGATTATACCGGGGAAAAAATAGATTTTGGAATTATATATATCCCGTAAAACCTCAGATTCCCCGAGATTGTGAGCACTCCGACGAAGCTTCGGAAGAAGTCGATTAACAACAACCCAAACAGAGGAGAGTGGGAAGATGCTAAACGACGTCGTTTCACATGACGAAAACCCTAGGCACGACGACCCCAAGGAAAAATTAAGGAAATCAAATTAGTGTCGTTGACCAAAAAAGAAGAAGATTAATTAAAAAAAAGAAACTATACAATTCAAATATGTAAACTCTTATAAATATAGATCATCTTCATCTCGAGAAACCTTAGCGATCTCTTCCATGTTTCTCAATTGTCTCTACGATTTGTGTTCCGTGAAGGAGTGCCACCACCTCCTCCTCACTAGAACCATCGCTGATATAGTAAAACGATTGAAGGACTCCTCCACCGATTCCGGAGTTAGGGATGCTTGTGTCAAGGATTTATCTCAATAGTGATGATGCTGTGGTGGCACTGTTCGTTGAGCCATTGTTCGAGGCAATGAGAGAGAGGAGGAAAGGGGTGCAATCTGGAGCTGCAATGTGTATGGCTAAGATGGTGCAATCAGCCGCCACTCCTCCAATTTCTTCTTTCCAAAAACTTTGCCCTAGAATCTCCAAGCTTCTGAGCAATCCTTGTTTCTTGGCTGAGGCTTCCCTTTTGCTCCTTGTTTCAAGCCTCTCTCAGGTTCCTTGGTCACGTTTTTTTCTTGTGCTTGTGTCGTCAATTGGTTTGGAAGAATATGTTTTAGTTTAAAATTATTGGAAGCTTTAATCGATGTAATATCTTGTTATTGTGGTCAATAGGGAGAATATGTTTTCTTGTACGTGGTTGTGTTGCTTGCACAAGTTTATCACTGTTTTGATTTGGCCTTACAAGTTCTAGTGACATTTCAAGTAGTTTCATTGTACTTGCCTTGCTAGTAGTTTCATTGGTTAAACTTCTCTTTGAAAAAGACAAGTAAAGAGCAAACAATCTTGTTCAGGTGGGAGCCATTGCGCCTCAGAGCTTGGATTCTCTGCTAGAACGCATCTATGCTTGTCTTGCAAGTACATGTTGGGAAACACGTACGAAAGGCTGCGGCTGATACGTTGACTGCATTGGCATCACATTCCAGCTCTTTGATTTACGACAAAACAGATTTCACCCTTGCCCTGCTGGAGAACAGCTGTGTCAAGGAAAAGGTAGCAATAACAAACACCCTCTTTCTCTTTAGTAATCTTAGGTTTAACTAGCTAACACTAGTGTTTCTTTTTTCTGTTTAATCTCTCAAGTGGCCCTGTTGTTAAGTAAACTTGAAACATCATAATATCATTTGCATATCTGTATGATTTTTCAGTCATCTAGCTACCACTTTTCTTCCTCTAGTGAGCGTTGTTTTGTGAAATGAACTATAAGAGGGTATCAGTTAGGTGATATAGTGATCTGCTCACGACAGCTTAATTAATGATCAACTTTTTTTCTTTTTCTTGGACAGATTAAAGCTGTTAGGGAAAGTATGAAAGAGGCGCTGCAGTTATGGAAAAACATTTCTGGATAAACTAGATCGGCGGGAAATAGAGTTGATGAGTATTAGTGACATTGAATCTGCTTATGAAGAAGTGTTTGGCACCAATGACCAGAGCTTGATCATCTCGCTGATGAAGAAGACGGGACCCATTTTTGACCGTCTGTTATCAATTAAGATTGCACACAAAATTATAAAATTCATCTCTAAGCTTCTGGAGGATCACAATTATTACGACATGTGTGTAGATTGGATTAGAGAGGTACATAATTTTATACATGACGTCTGTGTATCTTTCTCGTTTGAATCCAGACTTTAACACTCTGCTCTCTCTGCTCTCTCTAATCTTTGTTAGTAGTTTAGATCAGATCTGGTTTAACACTTATTCACCAGCTTTTATCTCTTGGAATGTTGATATCCAAATAAAGGTGACCCTGTGAGTCAGTGTCCCCTCTGCTCTGATCGCTTTCCAGTCTCTCACATGTTATGATTTTATGTTACAAGGTCAAAACTCAAAACCCATTTTGTCATATTCGGCGTTGGAGATATATGCTCTAATTGATAATCCAATCTCACAGAATTTGATAGTGATATTATTCATATAAGCTTAACGAAATTGAATTGTTTTGTAAATGTTATTAACGTTGCGTCCAATCTACAAACGAATCACTCGCGTGGCGTAACATAAAACACTTGCTTGCAAATTTAATTTATACTGTATAAAGGAGGACTCCGACTCCATGAGAAAGAACAAAAAAAATCGTCTGCAAGTTATAGAAAATGGATCAGTTCAAAGGTCAGCCTCGTCTACCCAAGTTCGCCGTCCCCAAGCGCTACGATCTCCGCCTCAATCCCGATCTCATCGCCTGCACCTTCGCCGGAACTGTTGCCATCGACCTCGACATAGTCGCCGATACTCGTTTCATCGTTCTCAACGCAGCTGATCTCTCCGTCAACGATGCCTCCGTTTCCTTCACTCCTCGTTCCTCCTCTAAGGTCTCTATCGCGTTTCTTTGTGCTGATATGTATTCCGATTTTAGTAATGTGATTGGAGTCATGGTTTTGAGCGCCTTGGAGATATTTATTTTCATGATTAGCTTCTTGATTTGAGTATTTGGATATCATCATCTATGATTCTTTATTTTGATTCCAATGGTAAATTAACTACAGAGATGTAATCAGGTTTCAGCTAGATGACTGAAAAACAATCATGAACTCTAGAAAACTGTCATGGATTGGATTGAATGACATATTCACAACAAATAGGAGATTTGAGCATAATAGTTCTCATGGCACTGAATTTCATTTACCCATCCAAAACCTGGAATCAGTAACGATTTAGCTTGATTTTGCTTCTTATGTTTGTTGCTTTTTGTTAAGCAGGCGCTTGCAGCTCCAAAAGTTGTCCTGTTTGAGGGGGATGAGATTCTAGTGCTTGAGTTTAGTGAGATTCTTCCCCATGGAGTGGGAGTTCTCAAACTGGGGTTCAATGGAGTACTAAATGACAAAATGAAGGGATTCTACAGAAGGTGAAGCATTGAGGTTTCTATCTTTTTTACTGTTAGACAGCTAGAGATTAATTCTAGAACGATCTTGTATTTGTCTTGGTGGCAGTACCTATGAACATAACGGTGAGAAGAAGAATATGGCAGTTACCCAGTTTGAGCCAGCTGATGCGAGGAGATGCTTTCCGTGCTGGGATGAACCTGCTTGCAAGGTTTCCACTTGTTCTTTCTCATTCCCTCCTCTTTCTATCAGCATGAGTTTATCAATTTGGTGTTTTGTTTTTCTTCGTCTTTATCTATCAATATTGACACATTGTTCAACAGGCTACCTTCAAGATTACATTAGAGGTGCCAACTGATTTGGTGGCTCTCTCCAATATGCCAGTCATGGAGGAGAAAGTCAATGGGAATCTGAAGATTGTCTCCTATCAAGAGTCACCAATCATGTCTACATATTTGGTAGCAATTGTTGTTGGTTTGTTTGACTACGTGGAAGATCATACATCCGATGGTAAATTTTATTCATTATTATCTCCCGTATAGTCAATTCGAGAAGCCCTTATCAAGTTTCTTCTTTTTCTCAGGGGTTAAAGTCAGAGTATACTGTCAAGTGGGCAAAGCCGACCAAGGGAAATTTGCATTGCATGTTGGTGCCAAGACATTGGATCTGTTCAAAGAGTAGGTCCTTCGTTGACATTTGAAACTTTATGTGCATGCATATTTCTGGGCTTCTTTACTGGTTGTATCATAGTTTGTATCATCTCATTGCATAAGTCCAATCATTCTTGTAGGTACTTTGCTGTGCCATATCCCCTTCCCAAAATGGATATGATTGCAATTCCAGATTTTGCTGCCGGAGCTATGGAGAACTATGGTTTAGTTACATACCGTGAAACAGCTCTTCTCTATGATGAGCAACATTCAGCAGCTTCTAACAAACAGAGGGTACTGTAAACATGTCCATTTATTCTCTAGAGGCAACTGTCTTGTGCTCTTTTGTGCAAATATCTAAAGCAGTTAAATTTCTGCTGCTAGGTTGCCACTGTAGTTGCTCATGAACTGGCCCACCAGTGGTTTGGCAATCTTGTTACTATGGAGTGGTGGACTCATCTATGGCTGAATGAGGGTTTTGCTACCTGGGTACATTGCAAACTTAGGTCTTAGTATTAACAATGATTTTGAGTTTTGTTGTGAATATATTGTTACTCTTTATCTGTTTCAGGTCAGCTACTTGGCTACTGATAGTTTGTTCCCTGAATGGAAAATATGGACCCAGTTTTTAGATGAATCTACTGAGGGTCTAAGGCTAGATGGGCTTGAGGAGTCTCACCCGATAGAGGTAACCAAAATGCAGTCAATATGTGTCGTGACAGCTTAATGTCTCCTTTCCTTACTTTCACTATCAATGCCAGAGGTACCCTATTACCTATTTGTCATAAGTCTGAAAATTTCCTCAGGTGGAGGTTAATCATGCTGCTGAAATTGATGAAATATTTGATGCAATAAGCTATAGGAAGGGTGCATCTGTCATCCGCATGCTACAAAGCTATCTTGGTGCTGAAGTTTTTCAGGTTTCGCTCTCATGCCCATTTTCTTCGGTTACAAAAGAATTGCAGCTTTTATCTTCTTATATTATGCATCGCTTCTATTTTCAGTTTCACTTATGTCTCCAAAAATTCTTACCCTACTTGTATGAATTTTGGTGAGCAGAAGTCTCTTGCTGCATATATTAAAAATCACGCTTACTCAAACGCAAAGACAGAAGATTTATGGACTGCTTTGGAAGCTGGATCAGGAGAACCTGTGAACAAGCTTATGAGTTCTTGGACAAAGCAAAAAGGATATCCTGTTGTCTCAGCCAAAATTAAAGATGGAAAATTGGAACTTGAGCAGGTTCTTAGACTTATTTCCCTTGTTGGATGTTCTATTTATAGTTTTATACCCCTTTTAAATGAGGTTCATCATGATATTGTGCGCGATTGATTAATGAAATCCATTTGAAAATTATCAGTCTCGTTTCCTGTCAAGTGGTTCTCCTGGGGAAGGACAATGGATTGTGCCAGTAACTTTGTGCTGTGGTTCATATGAAAAGCGCAAAAACTTCTTATTGGAATCCAAATCTGGAGCGTATGATTTAAAAGAATTATTGGGCTGCTCCATTGCCGAGGGTAGCGACAAAAACAATGGGATATGTTCTTGGGTAAAAATCAATGTTGATCAGGCTGGATTCTATAGGGTGAAATATGATGACAGCCTTGCGGCTGGACTCAGAAATGCAACAGAAAGTAAAAGCTTGACTTCTATCGATAGATATGGTAATTTAACCTTGCAGAATTTTGTTTTCTGGTTGACATAATTTGATTTCTTTGGAGATGAATATCCTACTTTTTCTTTCACAGGTATTTTGGATGATTCTTTTGCACTGTCGATGGCTCGTCAGCAATCTCTGGCCTCTTTGCTCACTTTGATTAGTGCTTACAAGGAGGAACTTGACTATACCGTGCTGTCAAATCTTATTGCTGTAAGGATCTGCCCTTTCTGTCTTTAATTTTCCGTGGTCCATAATTATGCTTTTGCTTCTGGCTCTTACTCTTCTTCCATACAGATAAGCTACAAAGTTGTGAAGATTGGAGCAGATGCAGATCAAGCACTGATGTCTGGGATTAAACATTTCTTCATTGGCGTTTTCCAATTTGCTGCTGGGTAAGCTGTTTTACCCATGTACAGAATTTAGACTTATCAACATCAAAATATTGTATATAACTTTATGTTCTGTTTGCCAAACGAAAAATAAACCAGTGTCATTACAATGTTGATTGTTCTTACAGGAAACTTGGTTGGGACCCTAAACAAGGTGAGAGCCATCTAGATGCTATGCTGAGAGGGGAAGTCTTAACTGCACTTGCTGTTTTTGGGCATGATGAGACACTAAAGGAAGCAGTTCGAAGATTTGATGCATTTTTGGCTGATAGGAACACTTCGCTTCTGCCTCCTGACATTAGAAGGGTTTGTTTCTTATCATATAACCCGAATAACGCTTTGAAACTGAAATGTTGAATCTTTGACTTAATTTCTGTATGGGTTTTGTGTTTGCAGGCTGCTTATGTTGCTGTAATGCAGAGAGCCAACAAGTCAGACAAATCTGGTTATGAGTCTCTTCTGAGAGTTTATAGGGAAACCGACCTCAGCCAAGAGAAAACACGAATCTTAGGTAACTTGACTGCAAACTTTGGTCTTATACCAGAGGATAAAATAGACAAAAAATCTGTCGTTTTAAGTACTAATGATTCCTTTTGGAGTATGCAGGTTCCTTAGCATCTTGCCCAGACCCCACTATAGTTCAAGATGTTCTTAACTTCGTATTGTCTGATGAGGTATATCATATGGATTTTACTTTCCACTCTGTAGAAGTCATATCATTGCGCTTGAAAAAATTGTTGTGATGTGAGGTTCTTCTTCTTCAAGGTCCGTAATCAAGATGCGCTTTATGGACTTTCCGGTGTAAGTTGGGAAGGACGTGAAGTAGCTTGGAAATGGCTACAAGAGAAATGGGAGTATATAGGAAACACATGGGGCTCCGGATTTCTCATAACACGTTTCATAAGTGCAGTTGTATCGCCGGTTTGTTCCTCTTCCCCTTTATGCATATCCATAAAGTAGCTATTGATCCTGTCGCTGGCCTTTCATTGATTACTCTTTATCTTAATTGTCTCAGTTTGCGTCGTTTGAGAAAGCCAAAGAAGTGGAGGAGTTTTTTGCAACAAGATCAAAGCCTTCGATGGCAAGAACCTTGAAGCAGAGCATTGAAAGGGTACATATAAATGCCAACTGGGTGGAGAGTATCAAGAAGGAAGATAATCTCACGCAGCTCGTTGCTCAGCTCTCTTCAAACTAATCATATGCGACTCTGATGCTCTGTTTTTTCTATAAGCAAAACATCTGTTTCTTCTTCTCAACACTGAATTTCAAAAGCACTTTTCAAACTTTCTGGATTTGCCATCAATAAAGTTTGCCTTCAGGCGCTCGACTCCAGAGGTTAACAAAAACTTAACTGCAGTTGAAAACTGAATTTATAAATTGGATGCCTTAATGCAATAAAATAAAAATGAAGAAGCAATATCACGAATATTAAGCGCAAATGAGAGTTTTTTTTTTTGTGTTGCTTCGCAAGTAGCCAAGTACTATGGAGTGGGATAAAGAAGTTTGTCTCCAATACGAAGAGCAGCATGGGCATTTGAGACTGCAAGCTTGATTATATCCTCAGTGTGATTAACTTTGGCATCACATATATCTGAAATACACATGCCACCAACTCAGTGTCTTGGGAATGTACCATCTCCGAAGAAGTCCGTGGGAAGTGCAAAAGACATAAAACGAGCAAATTTTATTATCTTGGGAATGTACTATGAAAATGGTAGAATGTATAAGATATTAAGATTAATGGTAAATTGCAGTCAGTTAAATTGTTAATCTATGCAATGAATTTAATGAATTCGAAAAGAGACTCATTTTACTAAAGAGGTGTGCACGGGTGCAGTGTATGGATCAAAAGCTCAGAAATCTAGTGTTCAATAACCTCTTATCTTCACAATGTCATCTACTGTGGCAGTAGAACTAAATTAGATTTTAGTCTTAATAACACTATGCTAACAAACGTATCTTGAATACACAAAGCTCCTGTATCCAAGTTTGGTTAGAAATTGACTCCCAACGAAACTCAAATATACAATCTAAGTCCTCACTCCTCGGTGGGTCTTCAAATTTAGAAATAAAAGTTGATACACACACAGACAAAGGTACAAAAAAAGAAGTAAAAGCAGTAATAATGTTGCAATAAAACTGCCACTAGAGAAGGCAACATTACTACAGCCAACCTGGGCAGCTTTTATATAACACTGAGACTTTTACTCAAAATCCCTCTAAATTTCTTTTTCCCTTCTCTTTCTTCTTCTTCTAATACACAGAATAATCAGGAAAGGCTAACATTGTTAATCAATCTCCCACCGAAACCATTTTGGTCTTCTTCCTTTTTAACTTCTGGGCTTGCTGTACAGTTATTTTTATAGAGAGCTTAAGATCCCAAACCTGAGGAAGACAATAAATCTTGTTTGGTCATTTCAAATTATCATCGGATCATCCATCGATGATACTATCTGTGCCTCTGCTGCTTCCCCGCTTATCAGCTCCACAGGCATCGCCTCAGCTGCATAAAAGTTTTCATTATATCAGACCCTATCAGTTTTCACTTTTTGAATACAAACTGATATAAGGTTGTTTACATAGACTATACACCGCATGAACTTAAAACTAATATCAGGATGTAATATATTTCTGTGAAAGAAGCTTATGGATCTGAACACGCAAAGGCAAATGAACGAAGCAAGGAAGTTTTCAATGTTGAAACACAAGTTACCTGGTGATCGATCTAGAGACATAGTTCTTGCCATCTCTACAGAATTGGAAAAAAAAAGGGGTCAAATTCTTCCTAATGTCTTCATCAACAATGAATTCTTGCATCTCGTTTACTTAAAACATATTATCAGGCACTGCTAATTGACTAGGAGAATTCACGAGTCAAGGTACAAGGTTGAAAATATTTTAATAATAGTAGGGTCATGTGAATGTACCAAGTGAATGACGCAATCCTTTTACAGCGTCAAAGTTCTTGTACGTGTAGCCAACAAAACTTAAATCCTTGGGAGCAAGAAGCATCTGCAAAATGAAAAAAAAAGGGATTGTATCGTTCAAAAGTGAAACATCTTAAGAAAAGGTTTCATCTCAGACGATAATACATATCGAGCACTTCAGTAGCAACATTACTACAATTTGTGATTACTACATATCCTTGCAAATAAAAGCGATCGAATGTACTGTATACACAAATAATAATCACAAACCTTCCTGGAGGGGCCCGATCTAGTTCTTTCAGGTACAGGAGAATTCACCTGAGATGAAATCCAGAAGTTCAGTAAGCATCCTATATGATACAAAAATTACTCAAATTCACTTGAATTATTATTCTGTCACCAATTAAGATCCTAACTAGATCAATGAGTGGTTGAGGTTGTCACCTTTATCAATATGAATTTTCTGCAAAATACTGACCAACAGAATTTAAGGCAGATAGGTATATATCACCATCATCACAAGTGGCTTATCAGAAACTGCGGGATAACTAGTAAAATTCACAGCATGATATAAACCAGACACATTAAAATGATTTTACGAAAATCTAATATATGTCGACCTTGATACTGGTATAATTTACGATAAATGTTGAAGTATTATAAGGGAGGTCTATTATCCAGAGAATATTTTGTAAATAATGCATGAAAAATTAAAAAGAAGAATTTACGGCATACTTCATCAAACTTCATAAAATTTTGTGTATCTAGCTCGCCGTTCACTTCTGGTTTGTACGCAGCTTCCATTTCGTAAAGCTTTTCCCACACAACATCCTTGAACCAAGGATGATCCTGATGCAAATTTAAGGTACAAGTTAACAAAGAAAAATGACAAAGGTTATCTTAAGTACTACGAAATCTTCTCATGGAACATCCTTACCTTGATTTGCTGGGCTCCTCCTCCAGTACCAAGCCTATGGTCAACGTTGCACAGCAACCTGCAGATAAGATCTTTTGCCTCGGATGACAACTTCGCATCCTCGGGAAATTTCAAATGATTTCTCCAATGGACGATCTAGCAGAAGGAATTAAGACTTCATGAACATGATCAGTGAATCTTATTAACAAAATCTCTAGTTTTCTTATATGCATCCACAAAGAACAAATACAAAAGGAATTGATGATGGAAATTTTACCCACAAATCAAAGTATAGTTGTCAAATATATATGGAAAGACCGAACATAGTATTTTAACATTTTGCTAACTCGGACGCGCATAAACTGGCCAAATTGTGGCTTTTCCATATACTTCACAATCTTATAATCCAAACTTTGGTCATAGAATTGAACAATCTCCTACCTTGTGCACTAAAACTTTTGTAGACAAACCGTCTAATTCAGTTCAATACGACGCCAGTCAAATTGCTCAACTGTTGATACTTTACACAGAGCAAACCACTAGGATCGTAAAAGTAACAGCAAGATTTAATACCTTTCTGCAAGTTGATATAGGGTCATCAGCATAAAAAGGAGGATACCCAACGAGCATTTCATACATAATTGCACCTAATGACCACCTGAGAGACCAACACATGATTTCAAAGGGAGGCTATGGAACAATTGCGAAATGACAAATGAAAGACTTTTATCAACCTGTAGAAATGGTTGCTAGCACAGGGAGATTTAAATAGCTAAAGCACTATCGAAAGAGGAAAATACCATGCACCATGGTTATAGTGCATTCTAAAAATGATAAATTTCAGGCAAAAGACTAACCAATCACATTCCATGCCATATCCTTTCTTCAGCAAAACTTCAGGAGCAATATAGTCAGGTGTTCCCACAGTTGAAAACGCCTTTCAAAAAAGGGGAAACCAAGCAGAGAGTACTATCATCAGTTCTCGTCAACTTGGCACACAAATTAATAAACAGACAGTACAGGTGATGATAGTTTGAATAGAGTTCTCCGCTCTCCTACAATATGAAGAATGTCATGCTTGGTTTTCATTATTCCCCATTTTGATTTGTATATCTACTTGCTCCGGTAACATTTGGTATATACAGAAACCAGAGAAATGGAGATAGAGCTACAAAAGAAGGAGAGAAGAGAATTTTACACTCCAACAAAAGATTAACATACTAGTTTTCTGCGATTCATCTGCCAATGCTGAAGTTGTTCCTGGGGACTGCGCCAGCTTCTCTTGTTATCAGTGTCGGGAAAACATCTATCAACATCCATAGGTTCTGACATAGTTTCATCATCGGTGGCCCTATTCTCCTGAATTGAAGGTAAATTTCTACAATCAAGAGGCTTACAGAGCCCAAAATCTGAGAGTTTCATGTGCCCATCTTTGTCCAAAAGTAGGTTATCAGGTTTGATATCCCTGCAAAAAGTGAAAAGACAGAATGTCAATCAAATTATATATATAAATATCACAGTTAACACCAGAAGCATGCAAGATAGGTAATTTCCAAAAGCCACCTATGAATATAGTTGTATCTGTGTATGGATTCAATGGCCAGGACACTTTGAGCAATATAAAATCTGGCAACATCTTCCCGTAATGTGTCCTCCCTCATGAGCAAGGTCATCATATCACCACCGGGGAGATATTCCATAATCAGATATAGATATTCGGGATCCTGAAATGAATAGTAGAGCTTCACAATATAATGGCTTGCAACCTCAGCCAGCAGGTTTCTCTCTGCTCTGACATGCTCAACCTGCAAAATGTACATTCATTTTAATCATTATACTAGAAGAAAAAGACAGGTAGGTAAAATCAGAGACAACCATAAACAAATAATCAATTTTAATTGTTTAAGAATTTTACCTGTCCTCTCATGACCATTTCAGATTTCTTTAACTTCTTCATGGCATAAATATTTCCAGACTTTTTCTCCCGACATAAGCGAACCTGTAAGTTAGATTAAGTTATTTCTAAGATTAAAAGTAGCATACTCATTAAGTAAGGACCCAGAAAAACTATCTCGGTTAAGTTGTATGTGCTCGAGCAGCAAGAATATGTAAGAAAATAAAAGGAACAGGCAGTATTCTGTTGTACAAACCTCACCAAAAGCACCTCTTCCAATGATAGTCAAAAGCTCAAAGTCATCAACACTAATCTTGTTCCTTTTAAGCCTCATAAACTCTGTCTCTTTTCTCTCCAGATCTTTAATCATGCTGATTTGCTCCTCTTTTGGCACTCCAGAAGAAGCTAACTTTCTTTCTAAGATCCACCGTCTATACCGAATCAAACAATGTTGGTTAAGAAAACGCACAGCTTTAACGGTGCTAATAGAGTAATACAGAAAATAAATATAATAGCTTCGCTATTCTTTCTTATTAGAATAGAAATGTTGAGGCTAAACAATTTATCAGACATGGATGTATTCTTAACTACAAAGATGAATTAGTCTCGATGAGAGAAATTAGCAGCCATGAAAGTTGGAGTTGAGAACCAATACAGAGAAACTGAGCCAGAGGTTTCTTCCATAGCCAGCAATGACTAAAACGTTCGCAGTACAAGGAAGTAACCAGCGCAAGCTTATCATCAAAAGAGAAACCAAACGATTCGCAGGAAAGATTAAGAGAGAATAAAGCTCAAACAAGTAATTTTACCCTAAACAATGTCTCGAAGTCAAAACAAAATTCCAAATCTCAAATCTCTCATAGTGAAAGAAAGAAGAAGAAGCGATTGGTACCTCTCTTTCCTCTCCTGAATGTTCTTGTTCTGAGCTCTGTAGTGATTCTCGATGTACTGCTTCGCTGCGGCCACTTTCTCCATGGTCAAGCTCGATCCCAGAACCTCCTCGTCCGTACCGCTCTCTTCCTCCTGTATATCCTCCATATCTATCTCTCTTTCAACAGTCTTCTTCTTCTTCTTCTCTCTTCCTTTTTCGTGTATAATAAATAGGTCTCTCGACGAGAACGACTATGCAAAAAAGAGCACCTCTCCCTCTCTCTCTTTCTCACTCTCTCGCTCTGGAAATTCTTCAAAGAGAGATGATGAAGGAGACAACGTGATTTTACGATTTTACCCTCAGAAGACGAACCTCTAGTGGACACGTGTCGATTTTCTGTTGAAATGGCACTCTGTATTTGGGAGTACAGATTTTTTTAATTATCATTTTGCTTTATTTGATAAGCAGATAAAGATTATTATTGTCAGTGAGTGAAAGAGAAAAAGAGAAGACTCACGCGCTTATAAATGCGCGTGGTTGTGATTTCCAGATATGTTTGGTTGGAGAGAGAGAGAGTGTGTGGCTGTCAAGGGGTATAATAGGAATATGAGGGTCGTGCTTAACAATTTATAATACAACGAAGCTGAAGATTTTAGCTTCGTGATTGGATCGTGGTTTCCACACGCGCATAGGATTCGTTGGGTGTGATATATTAATTTCCAGCTTATATATGCCTTCTGTTTTTCCAGTATTAAGAAAAACATATTAATTTAACACAAAATTATCCTTTTTAATTACATCTTAACTATGGTATCTGGATTTTCTACTATATTGTACTTTTTTGTTTAATGCTATATCTCATATAAAATTTGGTAGAAATTCATCAACTCTCTAAAAATATAGGATATTAGCTAGAGGAGTTTAAGTTTAGTGTATCATTTTGGAATCTCCAAGTAAAATGATGATGCGAATGAAGTTCATAATTATTGTTATGTGAATATTTTTATCATCATTTTCTACAATTGTATGCATGCAGGCATGATTAGATAATACTCATATAAATCGTCTATTTCAGTTTCATATACGACCACTCAAGAAATCATAGAACGTAAAATGTCAACCGTTATCGGTTTGACCAAAATCATAGCCTTTAAAAAGCTATGGCATTTCAAGTCATTTATTAGGAATATAAATTGGGTAGAGATGTTTCTTTCTTCTTCTTTTTTTTATGTTTTTCTTGTTTTTTTTTTCTCGCCAATGTTTTTCTTGTTTTAGTGTGTATATGAACTAGAGGAAAAAGATATGTAAACTATAGTAGTATATTTTTAAAGAATGAAAAAAACGTATTCTCTCTTTTTCATTTAGGAAAAGATGGTGGTGGTCTAGCTGTAAGAGGGAGCAACCCGTCAGAATGCTGCGTTGTAATCATAATTAATTAGAGACAATGAAATTCCACAAACATCAGGAAAAGTAAAAAAGTGTTTTGTCCAATTTCCATATTTACACGTGTCATCGCGTCAGTGGCTGAACTTTTTATGAAAATTATTTGTGAAACGCAAATGTTTTTTGGAATTTAGTTCATCAAAAATCCAGGGTCGATCAAAGGAGATAAAAAGGGCAAGTGGGCGGGCTTTTGTACCTTTGTTGCGGAATTGAATGTTACACATGCGACTGCAGAAGATTTCACTATTCATATATGTATGTGTAACACAACTAACGTTAATTATTTGCAGGAATAAGCTCTCTGGGTTCATTTTCTGTAAAAGCAATAAACAAACCATGAAACATTAAAGAAAAGAAAAACCATAGTTTGTCACTTATTTCAGATAATTTTTTTGAAAATTGTATTAACATCAAAATCAATAAAATAATTTCATAACATGATTATGTATATATGGTACTCAAATGTGGATATCCGATCATTGATTTGAGGACTAAGCAGAAATCCAACATATATTGGGCGAGGATGGACAAGTTTATGGAGTTTGCAATGTACCAACACTTGTGATAACAACTTAACGAGAGTGTCTTTTTGTTTTTTCACTTTTACATGAATTGGTACCGAGCCAGACTTAGCTAATCGATAGCATGATGCACCAAGTGATTGTATAAAATAAATATCTAAGCTGCTCATGAGTCATGACCCCACATAAAAAAAATTAAAACAAAAAATTGTAAGACTTTAATATTAAGTGAAAACAACGTGTACAAGAGCATAATTACCCAAGCAACTAATGTAAACAAAAAAGTGGCATAAAGCAAACGATGATAAATACTATCCTATGGGTCGTAACTCCTAAAAATAATCTATTAAATTTTCAACTACGATAAGTAAAGAAAAGGTATACGAAATCGACCCATAAGACTCAATATCATAGTTGATATTTTCCAAAAACACAATTTTTAGCTTAGAATTAGTACTCAAATTCAAATGTTATCGAGCTGTAGTGCATAGATACGATAAATTTTTGACAGAGAAAGTTCTTTAAGGGAAAAGAATATAAAAATAAAATGCTTTGGTGTTTTTTGTTGTTGTCTTTTACGTGACAATTGAGGAAATGCCAGCTCAATAATATTCTTTTAATAGTAGTTTATTAGCAAATAGCCATTGTCGACACCAGCCGTGAAGTATGAAACATCACTTTTAATAGCAGCAAGGCATGCCATCCTTTCTATCACATAATTTTATCATTAGAAATTGTGGGAATTGAACCGTTACATATGAACATAGATTTGACAGCCCATTCACATATCACAGACACAAATAGCCCAGGTTCCTTAACTTTTCATTTGGCTTCTGAAAATTGATTATCTTTCGAATTCTATATTACAAGCCTATGATCATAATCAGGGCATAGCGACTAGGCATGCGGTTTTGACCCGACCCGATTGTACCAATCCGAACCGAACCGATTTTTTCCGGTTTTCGGTGCAAATCAGTTTGGCATTCGGTTCAATTAGGAGAGATTAAGATTTATGTTCGGTTCCCAACCCGACCCAATTAACCGATCGGTTTATCCGATATATATATATATATATACATTTTAAAAATATATCAAAATATACCAAAATTAAACCGACTTTAGTAGAATCTAACCGACTTTAACCGATTTTAGCCGGAGAAACCCAAAAATCGGTTCAATTCGGCATAAATTCAATAACCGAAATAAACCAAAACCCGACCCGATTATTTGTTTGGTTATTTCTAATGAATTTTTGATAACCGAATAAACCGATTAACCGAAAAATCCGATCCTGCCCGATTACCCAAACTCACATGACTAATAGGGACTATAATTCATCTTTTGTGATTCTATGAGTCAAAAATTGCCTGATCTTTGGTTTTGCAAACTATTTACTATGACTGTCCAGCATTTTTTTCTATGATGTCAGTCGTCAGATAAAACCCTTGGGTGTAAAGGATTTAGTTTTTTTTTTTCAGTGTTTGTTTTGAAAACCAAAAGATAAGGAATTTGCAGAGTCTTTTTTCTTATTTGTAAAGCTTATTATAACTATTGGACCTTTGTTTTTGTTGGCAAAACAGTAATTGGACCCTTAAGATCTTATAGACCGATTAGATTTGCCCAAACGATGAGGTTAGCATTAAGTTTTAAATCGATATGTCTTGTGCCATTGAAAGATCTAAATCTAATCCATAGCTAAAATTTACCTACGGCCATTTGGTCCATTGTCCAAATAGCCTGAACGCTCGAAAAAAGTGGGGCTTTTGGAACAGAACAAATAAACTTTGACGCACTTTATTTTGTTGCAAGCTACTTCATGATTCTCGAAACGTGTTCAGTTCTGTACTTGTAAAATTTTTATATTCTGGTAGAAAAAAAACCTTGGTCGTCGTCGTCGTCGAATCGGATACGTTAACGTTACGAGTCACCATTAGGGCCCTATACGAAATACTAGGAGACGGATGGTGGTCACGTGTCACCGTTGCAGCACATAAGTTTTCACCTCTCAGTGTTGAACATGTGCCGTATTTCAAATTCAAGCTTATATAGAATATTCTTTTTGGTCTCATTTTTTTTGTCTCGTCACGTAGAAGAACACTCAACACAACGGGTCATATAAAAACAATTAACCAATTGAAACACTTACCATTAGCTTTTACTAAAAGCACAGCTCAATTAGTTCGACTTTTTTTTTTTTTTTTGTCGCCTATTTCGAAGTTCTTTAAATCCACGATCATAGTGGTTTGGGATATAGTAATTAATTTCATGTTTTTAACCAAAAAGTAGGAAAACTAATTAATTATTAGTTGTTGAGAAACCAAGTTGCAAAGCAGATTACCGGCGACTCCGTTGGTTTGTGAAACAAACTATGAGACGGTTTAGAATGACGGTGGCCCCAATTCATGTTCATATTTTAGGTTTGCTCATGTTATTTTGAATGATTTAGTTTTTCAAAAAGTAGTGTACCCTATAAATGATTTCGTTTAGTAAAAACTTTTGTCTATTGCTTTTATAATTTACTACTTTTTGGGTATTAGCATTTTTTTTTGTATCCTCGATCCACAACACTAAAATAGTTATTGTACGTTTGAATAACCTTTTAATCTATAATACTAACTTGTTTTTTATAAGGAAAAACTACAAAATCTACCACTTATTTCCAATTTCTTTCAAAATCTACCACATTCCTTCCATTCATTCAACTAATACCACATTTTGATGTAGAGTTACCATTTTGCCCTCCCTTTTTATCTTTTCTCCCTAATTATTTCTCCTCCTTATTTATTTCTCCTCCCTATTTATCTTCCCTACAACATTAGCTTATCTATTTATCTCTCTCCCTCGAAACACGTGCACTTTAACCAAGAAACATTATACTCCTGAGACTAAACAATGAACTTTCGTTTTTGTCTCCAGATCTTGTCCCCAATTGGAAATTCTCTGTTGCGTCTAGATCTTGTCCCCAATTTCATCATCTTGTTCTATTATCATGAATTCCACATCTTGTCCACCAATTGTTCTCATTTAAGGGTTTCGAATTTTATTTAGATTTTTCACCATCTATTTTGGTCCACAGATTAGTTGAGCATTATTGTCTTCACCTACCCTGATTATTGAATTTTTTTTCCTTCTATTGCAAAATAACAAAAAGATCCAGTTGTCCCCGAGTACTATTACTCATTCGATATGAACTTGTCCCCGATCTAATTCTATTACTCATTCGATCTGAACTTGTTCCCGATCTAATTCTATTACTCATTCGATCTGAACTTGTTCCCGATCTAATTCTATTACCCATTCGGTCTGAACTTGTCCTCGATCTATATCTATTACCCATTCGATCTGAATTTGCCCCCGATCTAATTC